GAAACTCACTTAGAGGATGCAGTATATCAATAAGAGTATTTGATGTTCCAATTTACTAAACATAATATTGGAACATTGACAATCTGTAATAGGGCATTTATGGACACAATATGCAACCACTGCTAGGTCTCTCAATCAATTGCCTTAGATAGCACATATTTTAAGGATCACAGAAATCACCAACATAAATACCTATGGCAAGTGAGAGACATTCCCCATTATAAATTGTACCCATTAAGAATAAACGTTCTATTTATTTGAAATTACTAGAAAATACTTGACCAATGCATGTGTATGAACCTATGTGAGATGAAATTGAAAGACTGAACTGTAAAAAAAAAAAGCATCTTAAATAGAAATTTACTATGGAAAATCAGTTGAAAGTCCTCTTGGGTCTAACTAAATATGTCAACTGAGTCAATAGTAATAAAATGGTAGATTTGTCCATGTTTGTCTAAAATGCACATGGCGTCACGCAAGCATAGAGTGGCTAGTTTAAGGTTCAGTGTGTTTTGGAAACCTAGCCACCTGGATTAATTCAGGAAAGCATGGATTAGTATATGGTGTAAAAAAAGGCAGTAAAATTTCTTCTAACTTAAAACTTTACATTTTTAAAAAATATAAGGAAAATTCCTGGATTAGCTAAATTTAACTATTTGTATCTTAACATATCTTAGTCACACACATGCCACATCAGACTTCATGTCACTGATCAACTGAAGAGAGGATACTAACCTAACACTTGCTATAGAACAAAAACAATAACATGACTAGTAACACATAGTTCCTGCTGATCCACAAAGGAAAGGATAACCTAATACAGTAATCAAATCATATAATTAATTATTTAAACTTGAAAATTCTCTAATCCAATTTACAATTAGTTTCTATTCCACAAATTATGCATACCCGGATTATGTACAGAAGTGGTAACTGGCATGCACTAAGTTCTCAGCAGTATTTTGAAAAGGATTTCAGATATTTCATATTTTTATCCATTGCACTGTATTTTATAGTATCCAATTCAGTGGTGAAATCCAGCAGGTTCTGACAGGTTCTAGAGAAACGGTAGCGGAAATTTTGAGTAGTTCGGAGAACCGGCAAATGCCATCTCTGGCGCTGGCCCCAGAGTGGGGTGGGAATGGAGATTTTGCAGTATACTTCCCCTGAAGTGGGGTGGGAAAGGAGATGTTGCAGTATCCTTCCCCTGCCACGCCCACCAAGCCACACCACACCCACCAAGCCACGCCCACAGAACTGGTAGTAAAAAAATTTGAATTTCACCACTGATGCAATTCATTTTTTTTCTACTTTTAAATTTACTAAGTTAGTCACAAATGGAAAACATATATTACCTTTAACAGGCTCATATGGAAAATCACATTCTTCTACCCACCTTCATTCTTGCCAGCATTCCTCCAATAAAATTATTATTATAGGTTTAATGCAAAGAAAACACAACAACCTATCGGTGTGTATTGAACAGATGCATACTGAACAGATGTGTATTGAATTCAATGAAGGGAAAATAAACTACTCACACACAATGGATTTCAATATAAATTTTATCTAATTCCAATATTCAAGATAATATTTTATCTTTAAGAACCAAACATAATCATTTCTTACCATGACCCATATGTGAAAAGATATGCTCAAAGCAAGGTATGCTGCTGACAGGACAATAGTTCCTTTAAATTTGTGAAACAGAAGATTGACCAGGCCGGCTTGAAAAACAAAAGTGTTGAAGAACATGAGAAAGATGATGATGACATTGAAGAGGATGGTAATATCTTGAATGCTGTAGGGAAAAAGACTTTTTTAAAATGAAACAGAGATTGAACGTAGCCGCATACATCCTACAAAAATGGGCTTGCTTTTTACAAGTAGAGAATATAGCAACAGGGCTGCTGAAATCTCTTTTGCCTATTTTTCCACTGGGATATTACTGTTTCATTAATAACAAGAAAAGGAGATCCCAAAGCTCGTTTAAAAGACTGCCATGGAAATAAGAGTCATATTGAGCTCCCTGCTTGCCATCACTTCCATTTTTCTCTGCTACTCCCTAAGCACGGTGATCTGAATAATACATCATGCATATAGCAACATTTATACATTGTTCAAACCAGCACAGGTTACCAGTAATCTATTCAATTCGATATTAGATTTTTAAAATATTTTATTTTATTACTTCACAGCAATCAACTATTGTCTGGCTTTCTCTGTTTTCCTGAATGAAAGTAACCCAGGAAGAGCAGAAACTAAAAATACAATTCTATGAATGTTTACCCCAAAGTACATTCTAATCTACCCAGGATACATTGTTCTTTGATAAGTGGTTTGGGGGAGGGGCTCTGAGTTAGTCTTGATTTCTGGCAAATGGGCAACTGGACAAGTTGTTGCAGTTTTCTGTGCAATATTTTTAAAGTCGGCTTGCCTCCTTCCCAGGAACAGTAGAAAGTCACCAGCTCCAAATCACCGCTTGACTGCTTAAGGTGGGACTAGAACTCAGTCACCTAGTTTCCAGCCTGGTGGCTTTGGCCACTATACCAAACTGGCTGTCAAGTATTTTGTTTCCTAGCATAAAATTGCAGGCCTATGCATATGGGATCAAATGGCTTGTTTTTATGGCTTGTTTTTTTTAATTTATTGTATACCACCTAGAGTCATATTTGTGAGATGGGCGGCCATATAAATATGATTCATTAATTAAAAAGTCTGGTACAGACTGAAACATTTCTTTATGAACATCTCATAGAGAATCTTATAAAAATATCTACAGTTCCCTTCATGGACCATTTTGGTCTTGATAAAGAGTTTTAAAAGCTACAGAACCCTCTTTGGCTGCTTTCACTTTGCTGCTGTTATTATGACAAAACCAAGTAATTCTGAAAAGAATATGTACTGAGAAGCATATGCAAGTCTTTACTACTCACATGAAAAGCACAAGCTGGATGACAGGAGCCATGCGAAGCAATTCTGAGAAGGAGTTGACAAAGAGATCATAGGACAAGAGGAGGAATTGCAAAGACAGCACCAGGCTGTAATTGCTGGTCTGGAGCATCTTTCTTCCCTAAGATGCTGGGATCTCAGCGTCTGCATTCCAGGCAGCAGAACCAGCTTATACTCATGTTACAAAAGAGGCGAGCTTCTTCCTCACGAAAGAGGCGAACTTCTTCCTCGAGACAGATTTGCTGGGATGGAAAAGTAAAGGGAAAGAAAAGTAACAATGAAAGCTAGAGACAGACATCTTATTAACTGCTGCGATGGTAGATGCATACAGTTTAGGTCAGATCCGAATACTGAAAAATGATCAAGCACTATTCCTTGAAGAAGGGGGAAAAAATCTCTTACTAAATCAAAGAAAATCCCCCCTTTTTTTCCTTTCCTTTTCTTTTGTGCCTTCGAATCATTGTTGACTTTTGGTGATTGCCTGGACTAATCCCTGCAGGATTTTTTTGGGCAAAGTTTTTCCGAGGTTGGTCCCCCTTGCCTGCTTTTAGGGTCGAGGGGGACTGACCTAAAGTAGCGCCGCTAAGCGAGGACTAAAACTCACAGGTCTCCCGGTTTCTAGCCTGGTATCTTTAATAGCTACAGCAAATTGGCTCTTTCTTTTTTTTTAATTGCCAACAGAATGTTTATACTTGGTACGGAACAGAATACTGCATTACTTTTGAAACCGAAAACATGGCCTATAATCAACCCGCATTTCTAGACTTGGGACAGGAGACTACGGGGGTTTGGGGGGGGGAGGGAGGCAGCTGACGATCTCCTCCGCTTACGTGGGAAAGGGGGAAACGCCCACTTCTAAGATACAAGACTTCACTAAATGCAGGACTTACCTGTGCTCCAACAAGCCCCTTTCAACCGGAGGCTACGAGATCTCTCACAGGAGTCGAGTTTACACCTTCTCGGGAATCGAATACAGCTCCGCGTTGTGTTAAGACACGAGAAACCGGAGGAAGCGCAGTCGCTGCGCCGGGGCAGCCCCCGACGAGGAGCAAACGATGCAGGACAGTTACTTTGCGCCGCCACACTCGGTCCCCATGGCGATAGCGCAGCGGCTCGGAGGAGGCGCCGAAGCCAGCAGGCCCGGAAGTGCAGCCAGGGCCGCAGAGATCATAGATGCCTTAGAGGCCGAGGAGTAACTTCGGGATGGTTGAGCGCTTTCCGACCAAACAAACCATCGCCTCGATCCTCAAGCAGCCTAAAGAGCGGGGTGTGTGTGTGTGTGTGCTACGGCGTGGCACGAACTTCCCGCTTTTTCTCCATCATTAAGCAAAACAATGAGCTCTGTGGAATAGGAATTTCGTTTAGCCTTCCCATTGAATTGTTAGCTTTGTTTATGTACCATCAAGTCATTTTCGACGCCTACCGCTATTATATAGGTTTTCTCCACGAGGACAGTGAAAATAATATTTGGCCAGTGCAAATCGTCTTCCATCTTTTATCTTTGTTTATGTTTTGTTGATGTTATTGTTATTTCAATACAGCAACAATGCCGTCCACAGCGGTTGGAAATTCGGAGGATGCACAAATTTAATAACAACAATAATGCAATCGTCTAAATGTAATCCATTTCTAATACTAAAGACCGGTACTATCTTTTCCGACTAACAAATTTTATTAAAAGGCTTTTGTGAAGCGCAGCTCACTTTATCGGATTATCATATAACCCAAAAGAAACCAACCACATTATATCTTCTGTAATGTGGAAGCTCAGCTTCTGGACTTAACGCACATAATGAGGCAGCTAATAATTCATGCTAGGTACCTTAATCTTTCGATTAGTGTTTGAAAAACATTTCCATCGATTTATCTACTTGTTTGCATTAACATGCGGTGCATTAGCATGGCAGGCAATTAGCAAGGCAGCGTAAAATTTGTTCATCCCAGAAAAAAGATTTGCTCCAAGCCGCACGTGTGGATAAGAAAACTACATTTCCCAGACATCCAGAGAAGTCGGAAATCTTCATTGGGCGGAGTTTCCACTCAAGTGCGAACAGAGGGGCTTAAATTCTTCGTCCGCAATGAGCGGCGAAGGCCCTATTGAAGGGGCTGTTGAGGACTGGAACTACTTTTCCCGACTCTCTCTGCGACTTAGGCGGAAGCGAGGTATGAGAGTGGTCTGCGTTTTCGTTGTAATAGGACTGAGGAAGGGAGTTATAATATTCTTTAATACCGGCAATCATTGTGACTGTCAGTCACCCACACGCTCATTCTTGTAAAGGAGCATAGCATGTTCTCCTACTGATATTTTGTTCAAGATTTTGTTGCTGCTACATATCGGTCTTCCTGTGGTTTTCATTGGCGAATCGACAAAGTTCCTTTATTTTCCCCAGGAGAGTGCCGCACGCTTGCTAGTTCTTGGATCTGCTTTTGCACGCTCGGCTTCTTTAGAAACCATTAATACAATTGATAATAATCTGTATCTTCTTGTGTGGGTAATTAGTCTGACTTTTACCAACACAATGTTCATGAGGCCAGTTAATCTCAAAAACGGCTATGCATTTTTCTCAAAATGTAGCAGGGCGATGCATTTTATTGTTTAACTCATTAAGATTGGTATTTATCCCTCGAGCAATACAGAGCAGGAACACCCTAAAATTTGTAGCCCTTTAATAATGCCCAGCTTTGAAATCTTAGCTTAGGGGTCATTCCATGTCAAGTGGTCTGGGGGTCCCTTGTTCGACCATCACGGATTTCGATGAAATTTTGTGCTAACATGCACACATGCCCCCAATGAACATTGGTAAAGTATTAAGTGTGCCGATGCAATACTTGCAGAGATATAGGGATTTGTGTGACCCCCCCATACCACAGCCTTCTACAGTGGGATTCTTAGGCTCCAGCAACTTTGAGACATAATATCCCCGGCAATATTTTGTTGAGAGAAACAAAACTTGGCCATCTTGTACAACTTTTTGTGTTCTATTAAACAAAATAATAAAAACATTTTCGTGAGCGATTGCCATCTAGATAATTTAGAGCAAAGTTGGCCGAAAATAATGCAGCTTGAGAAAAGGTTAAAGTTTGGCTTTTTATATCTCTGGAAGGACAGGTATGATAAATGTGAAACTGTGCGTAATAACTTAGCAACACAAGGTTTTTAAATATAAAATTTCATTCTCCTACTGCTTTCTAATAGTTCACAAATTGAGTGTAAAGTTGACGGTTTTTTGTAAAAATGCCAAAAATAGGGTATTTTTCAGCCTGCTTTTACAAAAAAAGACCTGGAAGCTCTGTTGAATCATTCTCGTTAGAAAGAGCATGTTTCAAATCCCCTAAAAAAATAAGGTTGGTTTTTCATCGCTGGCATATAAAGCCCTAACAATAGGGACAAAGTTGAGGTCGTTGCTATGGCAATGTCACATGCATTATATTAGTTTTTCGTCTTATTTGTTTTATATAGACATCATTACTATTATTATATTGCATTGGTCCATGGTGACATTGTCACTACCAGTTCAGTCACTTGAATCAGCAATCCCATCGCCATAGGGGGCATGTCTGACAGCTGTGCAATACCAGCCATGGGTGGGTTTCTTGGTTCAGGATCCCAAGCCTGTAGTTTGGTTTCTTCCTCGAGGTTCCAAAGTCTTGTGTGGGTATCCCAAGCCGACAATTGGGCAGATTATCCTAGGTTCCCAAGCCTAAAGTGGGTATCTTATATGGTTACCAAGCCAAAATCCGTACTGTTCATATGAACTGCCAAATTCCAACAATCACTTATTGAATTTACACACCACGTTCTTTAGCGTCACTTCTGGAAATTGATACTGTAGACCTGATGATGTAACTGAAGGCGCTGGAAGGACGCAAATAAGATGTGGTTCTGGAACCCAACAAACATCTTGTCTTTCAGGCCAATAAAATGAATGAGCAAGGTAGACATAAAGGGAAAGGAAACACAGGGAAGTTATCCCATTATCTGAAATGTCCCTATACCAGGTCTGCAGAACTCTTGGAAGTCAAAAGTGGTAGATTAATACTTTTAAAGTAACTGCAGGCCAGAAAGGAACAGCTGGCAGCACAGTGGCAGTGATGCAACTAGCAATGTCTGTAAGGCCCGGAGGTACTTTGCAATGTGTCTTTTGGGGTGGAAGTTAATTGCAAAAGCTTTGTTTGGCAGCAGTGGTGGAAGCTTTGTTTGGCAGCAGTGGATTGGCTGTTTTTCCATAAATACTGGCACAAAGCAGCTTGGTGGGCTGCAAATTGTGCAGGCCTGCTCCATGCTAATAACAAAATAGATGATCTGGATCATGAGGCAGAAAGACAAGTGGTATAATAGGGATTACAGAAACGGTGGAACAGTGGAACATTGATCTTGATAAGCATACTTTGTTTTAGAGGAACAGGCAGTACAAGAATGGACATGGTATAGCATTATATAGTCAAGAATTAACTTAATTAGTTGTAAATTAACTTTACATAGATCAATTGGATTGATAACAACCTGAGCATGGACAGTATCTGGCAAGCTAGCAGAAAGGATAGCTTGCATGTCGACTGCAAACCAGTCAGAAGAGGTAAGAGTCTTGCCTGTGAAATCAGATTAGCCGTGACCCTGCTGGTCTTCTGTAAGGCCTTAAAGACATGTTTGTGACACTGAGCTTGGGGTTCTGGATGTATGGCAACGCCTGTGCAATGATTGTGATGATTTGTTTGCTGGTTATTTTGATTTTTTTAACCATGGGTGTCAATTATGTATAGCAAGGGTGTCAAACTGGTGGCCTGCAGGCCAGATGCATCATGCGGAGGCCACTCCCACCTTGGCTCCGCAAAGGCAAAAAATATATGTCACATGACATCACGTGACACGATCGAGTTTGACACCTATGATGTAGAGCAATAACACTTAGATTTATACACCACTTCCCAGTGCTTTACAGCTCTCTCTATGCAGTTTACAGAGTCAACATGTTGCCCCCAACAATCTGTGTCCTCATTTTATTGGCCTCAGAACGATGGAAGCCTGAGTCAACCTTGAGCCGGTCAGAATCGAACTCCTGGATTGAGCAGAGATTTAGCCCTGCAGTACTGCATTTTAACCACTGCGCCACCACCATGTATTAGTTTTGTTGAGATGGGTGGCCATATAAATTGAAATAAAGATTTATTGGTATTGGCAAATAACCAAACCTTAGGAAACCATGAAAGGGTTTTAGGGAGGGAGGTTTCAAATCCCCAAACATATATTGAAAGACTGTCAAATGAAGAGAAGATAGAAGGAATATAAAAAAGTGTTTTTAGACATTGTCAGTCCTACAAGGTAGACCAGGCTGAGAAACCGATGCCATGTAGGTCATCACTACTTTTATTTAGCAGTTATAGTAACAGAATCTTGCAAGTCTGTTTGTACTTACCCTATTCCTTCACTTTATCTTTGGATGAACTAGGGAAGGGCCTTTCTGAGAAGATTATTCATATTATTTTCTTTGTCCAGGCTCAAGCCCCTCTTATTGCCTTGGTAATCATTCTTCTTTCTTTTTTTCAAGGCCATTCTCTCTGGCCTCCACAGATATATAAAAAGATTTTATTCAGAAAATGGTTGACAAGTCTTGTACTGCCAAGAAACTAGAATCAGAAGTAATTAATTGAGTTGCAGCTTCATAGATTTTGTTTTAAAAAAACAGGAAAAATTTCTTGACAGTAAATCTATATAGCACTGAAGCATATGATGGTTCCCCCCCCCACCCCAAAAAAAAAGTTGGACAGCCACCACTCACATTTGGTTTGTGTTTTTGTGTTTTGCAGATGGCTGGACTATAGGATTATTGTGGTTCCTTCCAATTCAATTAATCTATAATTCTATCAGGAGAAGAGAGGCAGTAAACATAAACCAGAATGTGTGTATTTATTTATTTATTTATTTATTTGATAATATTTATATGCCGCCCTTCTCCCGAAGGACTCGAGGCGGCTCACAGCAATAAAACAAAACAATAAATAATGCTAAAAATCCAATTAAAATCCCCAAATTAAAACTATAGCTCCCAAAACAGATCAGAAGATTTGCTGGAAAAGCCATGTCTTCAGGTCACTGCAGAAAGAGCGGCGGTCAGGGGCCGTCCGGAGCCCAGTGGGTAACTCGTTCCAGAGGGTCGGTGCGGCCACAGAGAACCTGTAGGAGAATGTGTAGGAGCCGACCCAGACTAATTTGGCTGCATTAGAATTTTGCTACCTAAATTAATTGTCATACAAGGCACTCATAAATAGCTTTTATTCTGATTAAAGCTTTCAGTGTTATACTCTCTGACATTGATGTAGATGCTAATGTATTTGGTTGGGTGTATGCATATATGTATAGATACTACAAACATTATAAATACAAATTTCAATACAACTCTCAATTTTTAGAAAAAGTATTGAAAAGTTGCCTGGCAATTTGAAGAAAGTACTAGGTTTAAAGAAAATACTCAAAAAGAGAAAGCACATCCATTTCCTTTCTCCATCTATAAAGGAACTTGTGTGTTGTGAAGAGTGAAGTTTCGGTCAGCATCATGAACTATTAATGGACATTTTCTGCTATTTATTCAGCCTCAACTTCTGCTTGAAAAGCAGAAGTGAAGTCATAACAGTTGCCTTTCTCAAGAAGCAGTGGTTCCAGGTGCAATATCTATAGAGGGCTTTTTCTCTTCTTTTTACAATAAACTCATCGGTTCCCCTATAAACTATATTTAGTGATATGAGTACATAGCATTTCTGGACTTAAAAAAGACAATAATCCTATCAATTAAACTGATGGTAATGACTGAGCTTTGTACATATTGCCACCCAGGTAGAATATGATCTGCTTGAATCAGCCCAGAGACATTGTAGAGCCTTTGTCTTCTGAACAATGAATTTTAACGGGTAAACGCATTAAAATATTTTCTCTAGCGCTTTCTCTCTAGCTCCTCCTCCTCGGGTGATAATGATAAAAATAGTAAAATTGAAGTGCATGTGCCGTACAGCAGAAAGCAATGCCATTTGGAGTTGGGTGAAGGCAATATTGGCTAAGAAGAATAGAAAGCTGGCGGAGGAGATTTGGAATTTAATTTCTTATCAATAACCTGAACTGTTTGTTCAGTTTCTGGTATCTTACTTTATTTTCTCAGGTGTGCTTCTAGATAGCATTGAGATGCCTACAATTCCATTTCTACCATATTCAATCCTTATGGGAAATCTGGGCATCTTGTGTTTGGGACTTACGGTATATTGGAGTCAGCACTTGCTTGGCGGCTTGGCCTGGGATGGTTCTCATAAGATGTTTAATTGGCACCCAGTTCTCATGGTGACAGGCATGGTGGTCTTATATGGTGCAGGTAAGTGAAAAAACACCAGTTTCTCTGTCCTTTCCCCCTCCTTTTGGTGTGTATGTGTTGATAGTGCCAGAGCGCTTCAACTAGGTCTGATGATTTCCCCCCTTTTCCCCTGCAGCAGCACTAGTGTACCGTTTGCCCTTATCCCATATGGGTTCCAAGCTCCCTTGGAAGGTGCTGCATGCAACACTTGCTTTGATAGCATTTATCTCTGCCATTCTGGGATTGGAGGCTGTCTTCAAGTTTCACAATGTGCAGAAGATCCCCAACATGTATTCTCTACATAGCTGGCTTGGGCTCTCTGCTGTGCTATTTTTTTCATGCCAGGTAGGTAAGAACATATCAATGGATTGATTTATGTTAAAAGTATATATCCCACTAGTTTCCCAGAGAAGAGATGAAAGGCTGGAAACAAACAAGATCAGCAATATTTAGAGTAGCTCCCAAACTTTTATTTTTATTGTAACCTGCCTCCGATAGTTGATCTTCAGAAAGGATTAAGAAATCCTGCCTGAAACTCTGGAGACTCATTGCTAGTCAATGTAGATAGTAGTGGGTGAGAAAAATCAATGCTCTGGTTTATTATAAGACAGCTTCTAGGATTCTAAGGGATAGCCAATTAGCCAGAGATGTGAATAGTTTTATCTTTTAATATGCAATCCAATACTGCTACGCTTTTTCTAAAGAAAGACTTGATAGTACTTTTATATATCTTTTTTTTTTGAAAAAAGTTATTTTTTATAATCAAACAAATAACATTTTCACTTGTATATTTAAACATTTATAAACCCAACCTTCCACCCCCCCTTCCCACCCCCCTCCCCGACTTCCCAGAAGAAAAACAGGGTATAAGTTTTATCAAACATACGCTAAAATATGCTAAGTTAATGCAAGACTATAACAGTACTTTTATATATCTTGTGTGTCCTCAGTTTCTTGTCACCAGAAATTAATTCTGTAAACAAAATTAAATATATAAAAATTCTATAAACTTTTCTCCTACTGGGCAAGTGGCCATCTCTTTTGAAATTAAACCAAAGAATTATGCATATGAATCATATATTACCTAAAAAACATGCAATGTGTTGCCTGCCGAACATGTATTGTGAGAGATGGAATCACATACAATAAACATACTTTCACAAATGTTGTGTCCATATGTGTTTGAAGATCTAAAATTATCATTTTTTTTAAATTAAAGAGATGAGAGGAAAAAAGAACCGCTGGCTACATTATCACACTTTGCTAATCATGTACAAGTAAATTTTTATAGGCTCAGGTACAATTCAGGTACTATAATGTAAGACTTCTAATTTATGTCTCTCCTTTCCAGTGGTTAATGGGATTTGTTTCTTTTTTGTGGCCTTGGACGCCCATCTGGTTCCGAGCCCTCTACAAACCTGTCCATGTTTTCTTTGGTTCCGTCATCCTTGTTTTGGCTATTGCATCCTGCATCTCAGGCATTAATGAAAAGTTATTCATGAAATTGTGAGTAATGGAATTTAGTTATGGGTTGTTCGGGACATAGTGAAATGGGTCTTGTTGTTTTGTCTTTTGACTGTGAGGTAACACGTAATCTCTATAAAAAGTTAATGATTTGGTTTATCAGTTTCAATCTAGAAAAAAGGAAAGAAAACTCAAGCTGATTTGGACTGAAATTGTTATGGATTTTGACAGTAATCAAAATACTTCTAAATATGAAGGGGACTTTCCTAAAGATTTATCAGGCACCCAGAATCCAGCTACAGGGATGCCGCTAGGAATGAGTTCCCTGTGGCAAGTATTTTTCTTGAAATATCTACATCAGTTTCCACCAATATTGCGCCTTCCATACTTAGAAGTTGCAGAAAGGGGGGTTTAACACCTCTTGGTGACCCAGGGATCTGGAAAGCTGGTATAGAAATATTTGTATATTTAGTTTTTCCAACATAGCAAGTAAAGATGTGGAACAAGTATGGAGATCTGTTGGAAACAAATACCATACGCATGCCTAGGTTCTGTATTATGACATCAATAGCAAATATTGGGAAGTCTGCAAGAGCAAAAAAGTTGGTAGATAAAGCCCCAGATGATCACAGAAGAACCCATGGCCCAAAAGATTTATTAATGTATTCCAAATATTCTCTTCTTTTTGGATTTTTGCAGAAATATGTGAATTGAACTAGTTTTCATTAAACACTTTGTTTGACTATCTTCTTAGAAAAAATTCAACAATACCATATTCCAAGCTTCCCCCAGAGGCTTGGTTTGCCAACGTTCTGGGAATGCTGATTTTGGTGTTTGGAGTGTTGGTGTTGTTGGGTCTTGCCATACCAGGATGGAAACGTCCGGATGTGAATTCACAAGACGTTAGACAGGTGAGATATTATGCTATGATGAATTATAGAAAATGAATATGGTTTTTTATGTGCTATGAAAAGTATTTTTGAATGCTACATACACAGAACACACACGCACACGCACACGCACACCCCTTATAGCAAAACTCAGATGCGACTACATTCCAAAGAACTGGGGCAGACACAGTGAAGGCTTTATTCCAGGTCACCCATAAGACAAAGGTAGACAAATCTTCTCAGACAATCTCAGTTGAATGGGGGTGGTGTTGGGAATCAAATAGAAAGAAGTGTTTTCTCAATGTGCTTCAACCTCTAAACCACATTGGGCCTTAAAAGTTGATACTCTGAACTTTCTATTTCACCCAAAAAGAAATACAAAACAGAATTGGGCAGGGATTGCAAACTCTTCTGGAGAGAATTCCATAGATAAGATATAAACCTGGTAAAGTGAGAATTAAATATTTAATTGATCAATCTTTATCCTATGGATCATCAATGTGTAAATGCTGCTTGGGTAAAAATTAGTTCTGGCAATCTAAAAATTTTAAAGACTAATAGCTGCATAATTTTCATTTTATTCTGCTAATACATAAACAAAATGCTAAAATTATACCTATTAATCTTGTTCTGCCATATACATTTAGCCACCATTCTGGCTAATTAGATGTTATTGAGTCTAAATCTAAAGCATTTAATTCTCAAACCTGGGACATTTAGTTCCCAAACCTGAATTTTCAAATAATCATTAAATTATTGAAACAAAACATTTGCAATGTATATTGTATATTTCAGGCAAAATTTAGGTTTAAATGGAATGGGCCAATTAAACAGATTGTCATCTTGAAAACTGAAAGGTGAATTAATTACACAACCACTGAAATAAGAATTTGTGACTCTGGATCAGGGTTGTCAAATTCATGGCCCACGGGCCGGTTGCGTCACACACTGGCTACGCCCATACCCGGTTTAATGAAGGGGAAAAAAGTCCCAATACGTCATGTGACACCGCCTTGACACTGCGAGTTTGACACCCCTGCTCTAGATAATAATTAAAGAATAATTCCTACCATTATTTTTCAGTGTACATACTGGTTGAAGTTGTCAGAAATTTTAGCCTAGCAATACTTAACAACAATACCACTTATCAATCACTCATAGTTGAAGCCATTCATTTCTCAATACCTAGGCACAACTTTATTCGAGACTTAGGGCACAGGAACTTTCATTATACAGACTGTCTCTCTATTTTTCTGTAAAATGAGACAAATGACTTAAGATTTCATGGAATGCACTCTCAGAATTTTAACATGTGAATACTAATCTTAAAGATAACTTAAGCTACCACACCCCTTTCACCATAGGAAAATCATGTTTTATTGAATCCAACTTCTGATTTACTTCCTGTACAGCCTCTATTACAAGAAACCAGATGAAGAGCAGCTGCGTGGTGCTACCAGTAAGGGTTTCTTCATTGAAATTTGTAGCCTTGCTTGCTGCTGTTGTCATGAGTACAGCAGCTCACACCATGAACTGATTCAGTAAGAGAAGGTTTTTCTGGAAACAGGCATCTGAATTTGTTCCTCTGGGTCTGATTTTTAAACTTGAAATGTTCGTACTATCAAGGATTGCTGGACATTCAATCACATTTGAACAAATCTGTTTGCTAAAGTGCCATAAAGTTCAGAGATTTTTGTGCTTTTCATTAGCCAATTAAAATCCTATAATCAATTAAAGAAAAGCTGCCTTTTTCTGATACTTGGGTGAAAGTATGTGCTACAATAGATACTTTGTGTGTAATCTCAGTGTTGCGTTATTTTCTAATTGCATATGATATAATTTTCTGTGTTTTTTTTATATGAATCTGTTCAGGGAAAAAAAAATCATTTTGTGCAGTAATGCATCAGGTAGATAGCCGAATTGTTTGCCAGTTCACCTACAGAAGTTGTGTTTATATAACACATCAAGCCATAATTTAATGTTGGTTTACCAAATTAAAAAATGACTGGGTTCCCATAATATCTTAACCCTTGGTTTATAAAACACATTGACTGGATTCATATGATTGGACAAATAAGCAAACCAAATGTGGCACAGTGCAATAGTTTTTGGTCTCGGGATCACTTTATTTTTTAAAAAATAATTGAAGACTCCAAAGAACTTTGGTTTATATGGATTATACCTATCAATATTTACTGTGTTAGAAATTGAAACTGAGAAATTTTAAGATATTTGACTTAGTGGATCCCTGACTATACTTGAAAAACTGCTGGTGTAATGTATTATGGAGATACAACTACCTTGCTACCTTTTTATGGTTTCTATTTACATGGAATGATAGGATATCAATGGATTTTCAAGCACTTTTTTCATTTGATTACTGGCTGTAATTAAGTATTCAGACATGCTAATTAAGTAAGATTTTTTTTTTTAAAAAGTATTTTTCCAAATGGTCAAAAACCGGAATTACATTTTTCCCACCCACAGTGTTCTTCTGTATTTGTGTCAGTCGAACATAATCTTACTTTTGTGTTAACAGTAGTGTGGCTATTAAAATTCACAGTTGACAAAACATAATCATTAGTTAGGCTCCTTTAAAATGCCTCCTGTGTTTGCTACAAATTTATTCTCAGAACAATAGACTTTGTGCTTGTGTGAGAGTGAAGAGCAGGCTATTATATATATTACAATGATGTCTCAAACATTACAATAATGTGATTCTATACCTAACTTTACTTTTTTCTTAGAGCTATAATCTAATCACCTTATTTTAAGCCATCTTTCATTAGAGCTTATGAGACTTTATATTGGATCACATGTCTGGTCTAACAAAATATATCACCTTATATGGCTAAATCATGGGATTAGATTTTATTAGAAAAAAATATTAATCGACCCTTGATGCTTTTCTTATTTCTAATATATCTATCTTCTATCTTGCTAATGTGGAAATTGAGCCCCTTTCTTCTTATTTGTGCTAAATCACTTTCTTAGTAATGCTAATAAAAGATTATGCTTTTCTCCATAATCAACAATAGAGAAATTCCTGAACTTAATCAAGCAACGTGAACTGAACATACTCACGGACTGGCCCTTGATATATAATTAAAATAATATTTCTGTTGAGCTATTTATAGCATATAGTGTTACCTATTTGTGTTACTTGCAAGCTACATTTATTTAAAGAACCAAAACCAAACCACTAAACAGGCAGTCCTCATTTAGCAATAATTGGGACTAGCAACTTAGTCTTAGCAACAAGTGCTTGCTAAATCTAATCATGTTTCTGCTTATGATGTAACTTCAGTTTTCCTTTGCTTTACAGACCTGCAAAAAGTTGTAAATGTGAGGACTGGTTGTATTTTTTCATCACAGTTGTAACTGCAAATGGTTGCTAAAGAGGGCAGTCACCAAACAAGGACTACTTGTATCTAGTATGGGCTAATTACATGCATTGCAATATTAACTCCTCCATATCATTGTATTAACTCAAGGCTGGCAGATATTTATTACTTACAGTTACACATTCTGGAATTCCTTTCTATGGCTGGCTGAACATAACCCTTACGTCAAACATCAAAAACACATGCTTTCTTTGGGTAATATCTTAGACATACACTGGCTTTTCTTTCATTCAATAGAGTTCTCATCTAAAATTGTCCCAAATGCTTCAAAAAAATAACTTTTGCAAGTTTAGCAATCCAGTTTTTAGAAGTTGGAGTTATAATATGTATCAACTAGGTTCTATGGGTCCACTAACATTTTTGAATTACTAGGAGTTTACTAATGATTCTTGATTTACTATTTTCAACTCTGCCCCAAGTCTCTCTGCCTTTCACATGCTGAACTTAGTTTATTTAAACTGCATCTATGCTGTCTAGAATGAGAAGTCATACATTATTTACCTTGTCTAAACCTTAATAGGATATTTTCCTTTTCTTTTACATTTGAAAATAAGATGCTTGGCTCCAAAATAGCTGAAAAATATCTTGAAACAAAGTTAGTTTAAAGGCTTTATTTGGAAATAACCAGACAATGAATAAAATCTTACGTATATTTATTCTTCTACATTCCTTTTGAAAATTTTCCTTAACAGCATTAAGGTTTTTTCCAATTTAAATACAGGTAATTTCACTTAATTATCATTGTGCACCTAGCATTCATTCTGGTTATATCAAATGAGTTCTTGATCATATAATTAGCAAAATATTTAAAAATGGTGCCTGCAGTTACCTGGATGAAATAACTTTGGGGTTTTGTGGCAGATCATATGACAAAAGTTACCTTTACAAACATGGATCCTTGGCTGGCAGAGAAATACACCTGATAATTTATTTCAATCTAAACTATAATGCATTTTTTGTATAGTTGCTCCTGAAAATAACACCCACCTCCCACCACATAAAAGATCTAATGTGTTAACCAGCATGTTACCTGAGTAATTATATTCTACAATTCTGAAAGAGTGTTTTTGACTTATTTCCAATCCTGGCTCAAAGTGCTTAAGTCCCAGCCTTAAGGATGCTAAATTATATAAAGATGAATCTTTACTATCATCTGAAGCAAAATAGACAATCTTGAAAAACTCATCTGTAAATAATCCCATTTATGAAGCTCCCAAAAGAGAGGTCTGGTTGCCAAACTTCCTTTCATGTTATCTAGGTACTAGCTAAACATTCCTAGCAGGATATGGTTGTATAACAGCTGAAGCATATTGCCCAGAGGGTAAGCAGTTCAAAAATCCTGATCTAGATTTACGATCCCTTGTACCCAAAGAGGATTCCTGTAACTATGAGAATGGTGAGTTACTGCCAAGGCTAAAAGGCAGATTATTTCAATTATGAATATACAGCAATATTCTTCTCAGCATCTACATATATACAAGCCAAGTTAGATTGATGTGTTCCATATTTATATAAGTTATATTGCATGCAAGAAATATGCAGTAGTTTAACAAGTGTGATTATTGCACTTACGAAATTATGGGGCTTTCTGTGCTCCTGAGTCAGGGAATGGATTTAACTAGTCAAGAATCTTGTTTCATTCAGTGGCCAGTGAGATCTCTATGCAAAATCAACAGCGAAGGAACAAAAACAGCATCACTTTGGTCAACAACTCTTTAGAGGTATATCGTGTCAATGTATTAATTTCAGCAGCTCTAGTTGTTTTTTAAAAAAATATCTAGACTATTAATCATGGTTTATGAAGTATTTTATAATGTTTCTGGCATATTTATACACCTGGTATCTACAGTTAGAAGATCTTTGCATACATTTTACTTAGTTGTTCAAGCTATATTGCTACAGTATTGTTTGAATGTACTATTACATAGCTTCAGCAAAACTTAAAACACCTCTTGTATACAGCGAAGAAATGCAGTACATAAAAACAACTTGAACAACTTAAAAAGAGGACCCTGCAACAGCCAAAATCCAAAAAGCATGAAAAAAACATAGACCCCAGACAAACATATAAACACAACTCGGTTCTCAAGCATGACTTTCAAGAACAATACCAAATGATGTGCAAGAAAGCTTTGTAAATTAAAATAAGCCTTGTCATGTCAAAAGTACCAGTATTTAGTAAGTCCTGCACAGCAGGGATAGAATAGTGATGGGACATTTAAGCTAGTATTAAAATATTTATATTAAGGAAGAATATCATGAAGTTACTATGGTTTAGCCTGTAACCCTTCCAACACTGCCCGGAGAATGGCTGCAGTTGCTACAGCACCAGGATCGGGCTGTTCTAGGTGAGTAGAGCTGATATAACTGGCTCTGCCTGCAGAAGCTTCCATATTCTTTGTAGATTCAGCAGCAGCCTCTGCTTTCTGGAGAAAAAAAGCAACATAAATGTGTATACTACAAACCTGTTCTTTATACAGATAACACTAGATATAATACACAAATGTTTCATATCAATTTGTAAACAGAGACATCATTTGGAATTTAGACCTCTTTTTTGTTGCTACAGTCTTTACTCTGTTAATATTTATAGTTTTTGATCATTGATTTTAAGGGCTGGAGGATTTTAGGTGATTATAACCCTGGAGGCAAGAAGAATCTTTTAAAACAGCTCCTTTTATGAGCTGGCAAAAAACAATGCCAATTCATGCCTTGCCTGACCTGGACCAGGTGGTGAAATCTAATTTTTTTTGCCACCGGTTCGGTGGGCGTGGCTTGGGGTGTGGCTTGGGGGTGGTTATGTGACTGGGTGGGCGTGGCCATTCTAAAAAATTTTTTTAAAGCATTTTTAATTAGTAAAAAATGCTTTAAAAAGTAAAAAAAAAAAGTTTCCAATGATCAGCACCTGACCAGCCTGGCCCCCCTCGCCAAGCCAGATCCAACGCCTCCTAGCCCCAAAGATTGCAAGCCGTTCTACCTCGGCCACCCAGTCTGGGA